ACAACACACTGGTCTATATAAGAAGGATCCCAAACAACCACCAGACCCCCCCCCGCCCACGGTGTGGGGGGGGGAAATCGGGGGGGTTGAAGTCCACTCATTTTAAAGTGGCCAAGTTTGGACAACACTGCTTTAGGGTCTCTCACTCTGCCCTCCTCAAGTAAGGAGCTGTCGCAGAGAGGGACAGGACAGCACTCACCACTATAATTTCCCACTCTGGCCAAGGATCGTTCTGTGCATGTCAAATGACCATTCTGGTCACTCTCTCAACAGGTTTCTTTGGGGAAAAGCCTACAGTACACTATAGAAGGCATCACTTGTATCCGTTGCCATGGGATTTTATTTATTTATTTATTTAATTTACATAATGTATATGGCCACCCATCTCAAAAAAGCGACTCTGGATGGCATACAGAGATTAAAACAAAAACCACAACATAACCCATGACACCCAAGGTTAAACCAGTAAAGCCCAACCACAAAAGAAAACGCATCAGCAACAACAGAGCTCACCTAACCTCCTAGCCCAAATGCTTGGGGAAACAGCCAGAGATGCCTATGCTTCTGTACTTCTGCTTCTCCAAATCTGCCAATAAATCGTCTTCAAACTCAATGTGTTTCTGGACCATAAAGGAAGAGCAACGAATTACAAGGAATCTTAGTAGCTTACAAGGCAAGGCAAAGTGGAATTTTCCTTACAGGGTAGGAGAGCTGCTAAACAGGCATCTGGCAAAGAGGAAGCCTTCAAGATGCCAAGGACTGTCACATCAGGTTAATCAACTGGGCAACTGGCTGTTTGTTCTGTATTCTTCCTCGCATGTCTTTAGGAGGAGCAGAAGTAGGTTCAGTAGTGGAAAGGGGTGTTCTGGCCATTGTTGGGTGGTGTGGGTTAGTATTCCCATTTTCTCTGCTACTTCACTGAACCCCTTTTAGACCGCTCCCAACTTTGGCATACTGAATAACAACACGTGCATCAGCGGCATCTTAATTCCATGTCCTCTCTCCTCTCGTTGCTTCTGGATCTGGCTGGCTGAGGCAAAGCCAGTCCCTCCCCTTCCAGGCATACACACACATCCCTTGGCTGGAATTCCTTGCATAACGAAGCAGGAGCAATCAGCAGCTTCAATTATTTTATTGATCTTTTCATGATTATACAGTGAAGCCTCCTTCCCTCCTGGCAAGAGTCAGGAGCATCTGAGCCAGCTCAGCCAGATTGCATGTGGCATGTAGGGCAGGCAGCCTGACATGCCTTCCCACCTGCAGGCAGTGCCAGTGCCACCAGCAAGTGGAGCACTGCCATGGGAAATGTAGTATTAGTCCATGGTCCAGTGAAATCCAGCAGGTACAGCTTTCATCATGTTGCTCACACGATCCCATCATAGCCGTGAACCCCACACTTCCGGCCTGCCACCTGGCATCCATAGGTTAATGCTGCAGAAAGTGTTCTTCCTGCCACAGAAAATGGGAAACCAGTTTAGCTTTAGGGCAGATGAGCATAATTGCTGTTCTCCTTTAGAGCACAGCAGACTGGAAGAAGGTGGCAAGGAGTTTCCTCACCATTCAGATCTGCTTCCTGATGCTATTAGGCAGTGGTTTCTTGTGCAACTTAAAAGTACAGTATTCTGTGCAAGACACAGAAGCAATCTTAAAGGGTTATGCCATTTGTGCTGTATCTACAGAAGAGTGAGGAGAAGCACCTAGAACTCACCCCTGCTTAGAGCCAGGATCACAGCAGCATTGAATGTGTCTCCAGCCCCCAGAGTGTCCACCACAGTTTCAGGGGAGAATGCATTTGAATGCACCAGCAGCCCATCGGGTCCCATTGCGTCAGCTCCGTACTCAGCCCAAGCACAGATCAAGGTGGCTCTAGAAAGGGACCAACAAGGTAGGTGGATGGCTATGGGGTGAGTGGAGAGAATACAAAACTAAAATTGTGTAGTGCTTTGGATTCATTCTTCAAATGAATGAATCCAAAGCATTACACAAGCATGCAGAAGCATGAATATACCCCTTGTCTGCAACATCCAAAACTGTATGGCCCCAAGAAAGGGTGCAGCCGCTCTCAGGTGTTGCAGAGAGGTGGTACATTTGCACACCTGCCTGCTTCACAGCATCTTGGGGGGACTGAATCCAAAGCACTGGCCAGCACTAACAGATTCCTCCCTCCCCATCACTTCTACACAAAACGTTCTCTACCCCAGCTGTTTGGGACATCAACAGCAAAGCTGCTGAAGGAGGCTGAGCAGCTGCCAGAGACTTTGCCATATAGTTGGGGAGGCTGACTTTGCTGATTGTCCTCACACATCCCAACATGTATCCAGGCAAAAAGCTGAACTATTCCCCTGCCTGGGCTTTCCTTTCAGCTCTCAAAAGGGAGGTTTGGGCAATTCAGCCTGTTTTGGCCTAAACAGGAAGAAAGATTGAAGATAGGCCATAAGGGAACACTAGATACATAAATGATATAAATCCAGTCAATGAAGTATTAAAAAGTATTAAGAGGATTGCTAACTAAAGCTGCTGCAAAAGATAATACCCTGGGTTGTATATCACACACAACAAGCATTTAATTTGGTTTTGGCATATCAGCTTGTAGCACCAACCTAATCAGCTATGATCAGTACAGTTCTGGTTGAACCCAGCCTATTGCAATTTATTCAACAAGGCACAGTTATACATGGTTTAGCACAGTCAGTGTGTGAATCCAGTCTGAGCTTAACTGTTAGGAAATATCTCTAAAGCTGCTGGAAAAGAGGAGCATTCTCCCCAAAGCATAAAATGACTGTTGTGATTTGGGCTCTGAGGCTTTTTACAATTGCTGAAGTTGGTGTAGATGCCTTCTAAAGTGCTCCCACTTTTGTCTCTGAGATTCTCCTCATTCTGCTATTCTATTTCACACCACTCCCAACAACTGGTGAAGGACTCAGGCTTGTCCCCTTCTTCATGTTTTGGTTCCCTCCTACCCTGGCTTCAAACGCCCGTAGAGCCCCTTCACAGCCTCAGGAGCTGAGTAGAACCCAAACGTCTTGGCCACATCTTTGCTGACAAAGACCTGGAGGAAGAGAACCACAACAAAGTCACCACTTTTTGTTCGGGCCTTATTATGTAGCATCTCTGGGTGGACAGACAGTGCCTCAGAGTGCTGTTTATGAAGAGAATGATTGTGACTCTCAAGAGCATGGGGGTGGGAGGTGTATTCTGGCCAGGTTGTCAGAGATTTTCACTTGACAGCTGTAGAAATCCCCTAAGAGTATTGCTGTTTACTCCTGTGTGCACACAAGATCCATCTGCAGAAAAAGTTCTCTGGAAATGAGTGATTCAAACAGCTACTATTGATTCAGAAAGTGAACTTGGAATCCTTGGCAATTGTACGGGGGATGCAAGCACATCTTCAGTAGCCACTGAAGGAGGAGGAAGAGGAGGGGGGGGGGGGAGGAGGAGGGGGGGGGGGGAGGAGGAGGGGGGGGGGGGAGGAGGAGGGGGGGGGGGGAGGAGGAGGGGGGGGGGGGAGGAGGAGGGGGGGGGGGGAGGAGGAGGGGGGGGGGGGAGGAGGAGGGGGGGGGGGGAGGAGGAGGGGGGGGGGGGAGGAGGAGGGGGGGGGGGGAGGAGGAGGGGGGGGGGGGAGGAGGAGGGGGGGGGGGAGAAGGAGAAGGAAGAAGCAAAATCTCTCATGTCTAATCCTACGTGAGGTTCTTAACTAAGGGGCAGGTTGCTCTTCATCATTGTGGTTTCTTTCTTGACATGCCATGCTTCCCACCTATATCAACCCTTCATTCTTGACCCCCTACCACATCTCCGTAGCAAAATAGCTGGTACAGTTCTGGCCTCGTCTTTTCCACCTCCACAGAGGTGGTCACTCGCTCAGATGGTGGGCAGGCTTGGTTATACTTTTCCACTCGTTGCAGCATTTTCACCTGCTCCGAAGCATTTCTTCCCTGAGAGAAAATATTACTGTTAGGAGGACAAGCTGAGATTTCTGGACTTGATGTTATTCTTGGAATTGTTGATAGCCTCTGTAACCCTAGATGCCTCCATCAGTTTTAGTGGTTGGCCCATTTGTACCTGCTACTCAAAACAGAGACCCAGCCACTATCACTTATCGTTTGGACTAGTGGACTGCGGTGTGTCTGATGATCCAAGAAACTCCAGCTAGTACGGAATACTGTCTTTCTCAACAGTGAACAGGCACAGTTGGTATGTATTTTGACAGTTTTGCATTAACAGTTCAGCCTATTGCCAGGTTCATTTCAAGGTTCTAGTTTTTGATAATAGGCTATATTAACATAAAATACTTAATGTGGTTACTGCATTAACCTATTTTCTGGGTTCACACAATGCACTGAACCATAAACTAACCAATAGGGTAGGTTCCTACATGATAATTTACAGAACAATTTTATAAATTATCATGTGCAAACTCATTCTGTTTGGTTAACTTATGGTTTAATTCTAACCAAGTGCAGAATATTGGATAAATGAATTTGTTAAAACTATACATGAACACAGCCCCAGTTCCTGCTTTTCCTTGCTTTATTGTTTATTGATTGACTTTGACTTTACTGGGTATTTTGATTTTAGTTATGATTATTCTCCATTTTATATTGATACATCTTACTCAAATTTACATTCAAAGGTACTATTAAAAAATCACATGTAGATGATAAAAAGCAAAGGGAGTAGGAGGGAAGAGTGGAAGACTGGCCCAAGTAAAGAAGCAGAGCAAGCCAACCACAGACAGCTACTCAGGGAGGATGGCACAATTCAAACTGCTACTGACAATTCACTGCCATGAAACATCATCTGTCTATGTGCCAAAAGGTGCCCACATATTGTGGAAGGGTAGTAAGTCCTACCACCATCACCTCACCACGTAAACAATATTGAGACCAACCCCTGTCCCTGACAAGGTCTCACCTCCCAATGGATCCACTTGTATTGAGACAGGTCAACTTGTTCAAAATCAGCAGCTGTCACATCTGGCAGATTGCTGCAAATGGGAGAATGGAAAGTAGGGATAGGAAGACAAGAGTCTAATGAATGCAACACAATGGCTTCCCTTCCATCTTAAACCAATGTAAGCAAGTACATACATCCTTACAACTAACTAAGACAGGAAACCAAATACCTGTTGACTTCTTAAGCTCAAAATGCTCTACCCGCTGTAGCATACTGTTTTCTTAGCACCAATCCAGATAATCTAGCCAATCCAAGCAGGGTTCCTTATTGCTTGTCCCAAGCTTCCAATGAATAAACATACTACCTCTGAATATGGTGGTTCAATTATATGCAGAACTGATTTTGCAAGCTTAAAGTTAATTTCACCTCCTACTGGGAGCAATTCCTTTTTTTTTCCAATTAAGAGTTTTAGATAGAACAATAAAAGAATACAAAGGAAAAAAGAAGAAAAAGTTGTAACAAAACAAAACCCCTCCCCCCCAAAAGCGACTTCCCACCCTCATCATGTGTAAACAATTCCATAATGATTTCACCTCTTCTTATTTAGCCGATATACAACTCTTCATCCCATCCCATCTCTCAAATCAAATAAGTAACCTTTTCTCCCATCCAATTCTCAGCAAAAAGTCCAAACAGAGCTCTAAAATATTAACATTAGTTAACATATATAAAATCCAATATTCCACATCTCCACTCTTAGCTAAAACAAAATCCCATTTAAAGGGCATAAAATGGTCCCAATGTCCCAATATCTTCATCCCATCCCATCTCTCAAATCAAATAAGTAACCTTTTCTCCCATCCAATTCTCAGCAAAAAGTCCAAACAGAGCTCTAAAATATTAACATTAGTTAACATATATAAAATCCAATATTCCACATCTCCACTCTTAGCTAAAACAAAATCCCATTTAAAGGGCATAAAATGGTCCCAATGTCCCAATATAAACAAAATAAAAGAGAGATTTAACATAACAAAAAGAGACCATTTCTTCTTTACAAAAGACAAGCTCCAATACACAACATTTTCCTAAATAACAACTTATCCAATTCTGATAAACATTCCATATCTCAACTCTAAACTATAAGCAAATCCACAAATGACTGAAATGTAGCATAACAAGAGAAACAGTTTCTCCTTTAAAGAAAACAAGATCAAACTTCCTTACTTTAAGTAAAAAGACAATTAAATACAAAGCCAATTTGAGTACTATGAAATTAAGATACATAAAATAACAATAAAGGAACGAACTTAAGCATAAGTTCTTTCATTAAGTATAAGTGTAAGTATAAGTTCTTTCATTAAGCATTAAGTATAAACAAATCCAGTGTGCTACATTTTTGTTCCAGTTTAGATATCTACAAATGCAAAAAGAACCAGCCAGAAAAGCAACATGTCCCATTTTATCCTTGGTCGAATAAACTGATTTTATATTCCTTTTCCTAATGGGAGCAATTCCAAAGTACTGGCTTTGATCTATACATCCAATGGCTTTAGGTTGTATATCTCTAAGCAGCTATCCCATGTAAGAATGCCTCTATAACTTTACTCCTTTCCCCCAAATTTAACAAAAAGGTTATTTGAAAAAAACCTCTTGGTAGATGCACCATTACAATTGGCATGGAATGTATTTACCTTAGAAATGAAAAGCTGTACCTAAGGCATCCAACTGAAGCATAATAAGCTATAATATGCCAAGCTCTTGCTTGGGTTCTGTGATAATAAACTGAATTGGGGGCCATCCATTGAAGTTAATTGTAATGTACTGAGAACAGAGAAACCAGACAGTGTACATACTTAAACTGTAAAACGCATTAGCATAGAAAACAGTGATGGCCATCAATCTCTACAGTGTTTAAAAAAAGACAAGATAAACATATGAGAAAAAAAAGCTAATCTTGACTGCTTGCTAAGTCTGTAATAATTGCATATTCAGCCCTAGTAGGGCCATTCAGCAAGAGTGGGATTGGTCTGGCTATCCTTGTTCTGCTTCTGTGGACTGTCCAGGACTCTCCCCTCCTTTCCTTAGGCCAGTGTTTCTCAACCTTGGCGACTTTAAGACATGTGGACTTCAACTC